CAGGGAGGCGTATAGTTAGATCGCGTTGCGAGAGATGTAAGATCGTGGATTTAAGAACGTAACGAGGCGTGAGTCGTGATTTGCGATTCGAAAAGTTGCGAAGCTTGCCGTACCCGAGTGGAATCGATCGCGCCATCGACCTACCACGCGTATGAAAAAACACATTTAATGTCCTTTCAACATTTCACTTTTTAACGTTAGACCAAAATTTTACGTACACTTTTTGCGATTCCCGCTGCCAATTTTCTTGCAATCGAGTTAACGACGCGACACATTTCGGTTTTATCATATTTAACGCAACACAAATTTTGAATTCAGTTTAATTCAACATCGGTGAAAGTTCGGCTACACAAAGTTTCGCGTGTAACGGCGCGAACGCTCGGTTAATTATTCGCATCGCGAATGAGTATTAGTCAGAAGGCCGCTCTCACTTGGCGTTTACCTTTTCAGCGTCTGTCGCTTCACCTTTTCGTGAATCTATAACGTTCCGCTCGTGCTCTCTCATTCCTCTCTCCCCTCCTACCCTGACCTTATAATACGTGCATAATTCACGCTGTCGGAACAGTTGCATCGCGTGGCCTCCCTATTAATTAGGGTCATGCACCGCGGACATGCATCAACCTCGTGCCGAGTACCGTTTGTACCTCGGTCCACGCACCTCCTCCAGCCTATTGCTTTGGTCTTAATCGGAATTGAGTGTATTTATGGCGCAGAAATTAATTTATCTTCTTTTTCGGAGTACTAGATTAATTTCTACAGCTTACGCATAGACTTCGATAACATATTTTTTTCATTCTTATCAACCGTGAAAGTCAACAATCAAAAGTATACGAAACTGGCGCGTAGAATTGGTGCGTATTAAAACAATCACTTTTATCATAGACGGCAATAGTAAACCACGTGGATTGAGTTCAACTACTTTTCGATACAGCGCAATGATTACGACGCTTGCACGCATCGCTCCCGGAAATAGACACTCTAGGTAAATACCTAGTATCTCCCCGTTCTGTCCGCTTTTTGTTCGTGTTTAATTAAAAAGTAGTCAGCAGACGAGGAGAGAGTAGCTCGACCTATCCGCGTATATATCTGATTAACGTTCGTCGTACGCCGGACGAATTTAGAGATTAATGGTCGCGACGAACGCCGACGACAGGAAAGAGCTTAATGCGTGCACTCGGACCGTGCTCGCGATGGAAAAAAAAAGGAGAGAAAGACGACGCCGGTCGGACGCGCCGATCGGCGAGGTAGGACCGATTATCCGATGAAGCAAGCGCGGATGTGGGTGGAGAGAGTTATTTCGTTAGAAAAATGATCACCGTTCATTCGTCGAGAAATCTTGCGATTGGTTTATGCGGTTTTCTTATTCGCGTCGACTATCCCCGTGCTTAAGCTGATAAGCTATAATCTCGATATCTGCTGCGGAACTCGTACTCGTAATGGAACGCATAAGACAGTCGGATTTGAAATATAAAAGATCTCAAAAATATAATTGTCCGTGACGAAATAAACAATAAATTCTTTTTATATTTTATCAATTTTACAGTGACAAGTTCTCTATTAATACTAAAGAATAATATAAAAAAATTGATATTCTTTATTAACATTGCTATTCGCAATTAGCTAATTGGAATTTATTTTCTTTGAGATAATTAATTCGGTTGAGTATAATCTTATACCAAGAATCTTTGTTCTGTCATAACATCTGTCGAAGCGCACTCGACTATATAATCAAGCACGGCTTGTATTATATTAATTAATTTCTTGCAAAAATTATATCAACTTGATGAAAAAGTTGCTTTTCCTTCTGGAAAAATTATCGATAATTGTCTGCAGTGGAAGAAGAAAGCGAGCCAACGGAGTTTCGCCACACATCTACCCGCGTAATTACGTTAATTTAACGTAGAATCGATCGCACTCCCAACGTTTATCCTCGAGTCGAAAGGTCGTATGCACGACTAAAAGTCGTGGTCGCGGCGCGGAGGGGGCGTGGGTGTACCACCGACCATGATGTTCCGGGGGTAGGTAGTTGAAAATGCATTACCGCGGTCGCGGCATATGGCACGATGCACGCATGACTCGTCAACGGGGCAGGATGATAATTATGCATCGCACGCCATACGTAATGGCATGGCTCTTACCGGCGCATCAAGAAATTAATAATTAGCGTGAGGTGGAGCAGGCCGGGCACACACAGGCGTTGCGTCACGGTGCACTTAATTAAAATAGAATAGAACGCGAAGAGCGCGAGACCGCGTTCGAACGATAGCTACCGTAGATTTCACGTTCAATTTTCTACATAGTTGAAAAATATGGTGAATTCTTTTTCAAAACTCCATATTATGATTCATTATGATCAAAAATGTGTAAATGCTGCATTTCTTTTTACAGGAGTCCGAGGGCCAAAAAACGAACAACGGCATTCAGTACAGTCTACATCTACTCTACTCCAATGGTAAATAAATTCAATCTCTTCTTCTCTGCTTAGAATTTAAATAATGAAAATAAGCCATTGATTACTTGAGCGTCATGCATATTAATCTCAATCATCAACAAATGGCAGTCAATTCAGTAACTTGTTTTTCCATGCACTTGATTATTCAGTAACTAACGCGCCGCGTATTTGCGTTAAACATTAATGTGTCCACTTTTGATAAAATTACGTACGCGTGAAATGAGATACACAGATACGAATATATATATATATCCAAATCACACTCACGCGGAAAGGCGTCACAACCGGGTAGTCTCGAATCGATCTGTAAACGCGTATTCGTAGGGGCCGGCTGGTGGGGCACGGTAATAGCCCTATCCGCAGCGATGATGACGGGCCATCGACATTCCACACAGACACCCGGTCTCTTAGTGCCGCTAAAAAGCTCAGGGACTTTCGAGGTCCGCACGCAACAGAGACATATTTTACGTCACCGGGGCCCAGCCGCGCAAAAAGGGTCCAGCTTCCGTCTTGAAGAAGTGCGCGCGCGCGCACACACACACACACACACACACACAAACGGACGGAAAGAAGGGGGAGTAACGGGGGACGAGGCGGAAAGAAAGTAGAAGAAGCGAACGATTCGAAGGTGGTCCGGCCAGCAGACTTTCAAAAACGCGCTCGCATTATGAACACGTTAAAAAGCCCGCGAGGCGCAATGCACGAGCTCGACAGTTTTTCGCTCCATATACGCCAACGTAACGTCAACAAACCACAGTCGTCTCTTTATCCCTCGTTCTTATCCGTCGCCACGAAATCACCCCTCGTCTACCTTTCTTCTGCCTCTTCTCTGCCTTTTCCGTCTCTTTCTTTTTTTCCTGCGGCCTCATGATGCCCTCCTCCCGTCCGCGCTGCCGAAGCCCGATCAATCAATGCAAGATTTTTGCGTTGGCTCGCTTGACTGAGGGACCGCGCTCCCATCTATGGACACTAAAACGTGTCGCCAACATCGCGAACAAGAAGCGACTAACTATTGCAAACTAAGGAATACCAACGCGCACCTCGCGCACCGTCAACCGAGTTCTTCGTCTCTCTCGCGACTTCCTTTGCCGTATTCCGGTCACCGGTTTCCTGTTTCGCGCATTCATCCACTTTGCGAAAGAATGCATGCTCTCGTCTACGTTGCGACCCTTTCCTTATCGTCGTACAATTTTATCCGTGCTTTCTCTCGCGAACGATACCAATCGTGCGTGCGTCTTGTCGGCGGCTCGAAATTCTAATCAACGAATATGAAAAAGATTCATCTGGCAAAACGAGAACAATTGAAGAAACATTTCAATATAATAAATTGTAGATTATAAACCAATTGGATACACTACTTTTAAATCTCTTGGTGATTCTATATGAAACGTGAATCTGCATTTCTTGGCAAAATTGAAGAACACCTAATTTATATATCTTTGCAATTCAATTGATTAATTTGTCATTATAAAAAATAAAAGTTTATCAAGTGATAACCGCGATGAAAACAAAAGAAATCGAGTCAATTTATAATTCAATTGAATTTTGGATGTAAATACAGTGACTACATTAATCACAAGAAACTTCGAACGCTCGAAAAAAGTATCGGACGCAATGATGTAACGCAGTTTCTACGTTGTCGTACATGAGTACTAGTCATGTCCTTTACAATCGATCGGCACATTAGCGCAACTCTGATTTACGCGCCGTAGATCGGACTATCGTGTCGCATCGCCATTTGTAAAAGTTTCATGCGCGAAATAACTTTACCGCGTTGCGCGCGCGTGACTGTTATGCCCCGAAGACAAATTGGAGCGCGAACACGCTCTCTTCGAGTCCACTGTTATACCAGCAGATCCACATCAGGTGTGTTCCGTCGTCGCGTCGTCACCGATCGCGCTCTCAACCAGGCAATAAATCTATAATTAAATAATAAATAAGGAGCGCTCCCTCCCGTTCGAGTTACGACGGGCTCTCGCCCATATAGGGTTGTACTTCTTTTTGTCATCGCTCGCTGCCACTACATCTTCGCTCCGTTTCCTCCTCATCTTTCTCTTTCCTATCTTCTTTTCTTGTCTACATCGTTCACCCTTTTCTTGCGCGCTCTCCGAGCCGCGTCGTCGCGCATATGCGCGATAAGGAAGGTACGCGGATACGTGCAACGTGCTCGGCAGAATAGAGACGGAGACGAAAATACATGAGTCTACACTCGACGGAATATCGCAGTGCATAATAAAAGCGCCGCTGATCAAGGATCGCCGATCGGGACGATACGGTGTCCGCTTTTTCGCCTGACCGTTTTTTACTTTTTTACGCGCCTTCGAACCCAGTCGCCTAGTTATGCTAATGCCGGTTGATCTAGACTTATTTGCCTCCGCTCAGCAGGACATCGCACGCGAGTCTTCTTTCTTATTCAGCACGTTCTTCACCGATTGCCTTTATCGTCGTCGCTTCGAATCGCGAAGTGCCGCGCCGTCGGCGATAAGGTTGACGCGCGGCATTCCGCGCGTTCATAATTACATTCCACGTCCCTTAACCGATACGGGATGAATCGGTTTAGGAAAAAAAAGAATCATCCTTCTTTTCTGCAGTTTCTTTTAACATTCATTACAGTTTCCTAAGAATTAGACGATTTGTGAACGACGCTAAAGCACACAGTTAATTATGGAAGATATTTCGTAAATTTTGTAATCAATTAGTATAAAATTATTATTATTTTGTGATTAAAAAACTGGACAATATTTTACTCTAACATAATTGAAAATAAAATTGCATTCAATCATAAATTTGTATGATCGACAAAAATGAATATATTCATAAATTTTTAAGAAATATCGTGCAAGTTATAATTTCTTCATGATTTCCATATTTCAATCTATAGTTTATATCAATCTTATTACAATTTACATATATGTTTGGAAGAACAGAATGCTTCCCACTTTTATGTTGAATCATTAGCAATTACAACTCGTGTAACAGAAAGCCAGATATTCGAGCGGAAGCTCGCAACAGTTATTCGGTCAGTTTAGCGTCGACCCGTATTTGCAAATCCTGACATGGCCAAGGATACGGTAAACCGGTCGACTGCGTACGTAACTTCCGGTAAAGCCGCGACGGTTTCTCGAGGTAATTTGTGAGCTAGTTTCGAGCGGAGTATCGTAATCCGCAATAACGTTATGCGGCGTGAGCCCAGACCTGGGCGCCCGGCGGGTCTGCGAGTCTTATGTCGGGATTACTTGGCTTACCGGGCACGCGAAGCCGGAAGCCACGGGGGTGTCTGTCCGAAATACACCCCGGGATTACCCCGGTACTCCCCCAGGAAGGAAGGAACAGTTTCGAAAACTTGCAACGCCGAAATGTGCGCGGCAAACTGTAGTTGCGATAGCGATAGCGCGCGATAATGACGTTTCAATATATAATTTTCTTAACATATTCTCTGTGAAGTAAATTGTTCTTCTTTTATAGCTATAACTACAAAAGAAAAAATTACCAACGTAAATGTTTTTCAGTTTAATTTCCCCTTGCGTCATATACGTGGCATATCGAGACGAGGCATCGTTTGATCTTCTCGAATTGGAAATCGCGTTTATCTTAAAACGCGCTGTGCGTACGTCGTCGAATTCTTCGAATTCAAATTTGAAAGAACAAGCACGCAATGATAATTAATGCATTATGTGTACGTGCATTTTGCTTCCTATCTCGGTTCGTTATATCGCGGTATTTGGCGTTACAAAGCGGTATCAGGATCGATTTAAAGAAGAAGGAGGATTGTGCATACATGCCAAATGAGAAGAACAAACCGCTTTATATCGCTGTCGACTTTAAATATTCTTTATCGTGCAACTTTTTCTCAGACATCTTTTCGGCGGTAGTGCGCTTAACAGAATTTGAACACGTTTCCGTATTCGTCGTGTTCCTTTCATTCAAATGCCTACGCGAAACGCTTTTTTGTTCAGCGACGCTTTTTATTGAAATACGCGAAGGCAGCGATGTTACTAACAATTATCTTGATGCGCTACCTTAATGGTCAGACTAATGAGTAAATATTTTATAAACTGTATATAGTCGCTAAGAAATGGCAAGTTCTTTATCTCATTTAATTTCGCTATTCCATATCTGTTTCAGGTGTCAGGCAGGTGCAAGATATCTACGTCAGACTTATAGACTCCGCGACGAAACAAGTAAGTACAAATCCTTCTGTGTCTCAAATTTGTAAGTTAGGCTTTTTATATAACTTATCGTATAAGAATATTTTGCTCGTTTAAAGAATCAATGTATATTTTTATCGTGGCTCCTTTAAATATTTCTTAATACGTAGTTTATAAAATGTTATTGTTAAATATCTTTTATAACTTCTCGTGATAATCATAAATATCATGAGGATCAAGATATTTCTTTCATTTTTGCTGGATATCAATATCCAGTTCAATTCCTAAACGCATGTGTTTGGTATACATGAGACAACAATTCAAGAGAGCGTACGCAATTATCTCGTTTTCAAACAATCTCTTGCGCTCTCTTTTGCGCTCTCGTTTTTACGCGACGGGGCTCGTGCGAAATCGTCGCAGCGACGCGCGCACGTGAACGGGGGTGTTATCATCTCGGCTACAAGCACTTAATTTTCCGGGGGGTTGATTCTTACCCCTCCGGGAAAGCAGGCGCACCGCCGCGCGCGGCTGTCCCATCCTGTTATCTGCGCCACGTGGCGAACTCTGCGCGCGGCCCGCGAACCACGTGTTGTGATCCCGCACCCAGGGCCGTAGATCCCGACGCGCCGATAAGGCGTAAAGAAGGATCACAACCTTCGTGCAAACGCAAATACACGGTCAGTGATCACGGACGCGATAAGTCCTTTTATGTTCAGAGCACTTTTTAGGTTGCGACACCTTCGTGAGAGGTGTGTTTCGCACCTCTGCGAAATGTCATGACACGCAGAGAAACAGCCGCGCCAAGAGAGTTAGGGTGAACATGTAGATAAAATAAGTGAGATGGACAATTTCAACACTTAAATTAAACGTAACTTGAAAAAATGCAATGTATGCATTATCTTTCGGTACACATCGCAACTTTATTCTTTCTAAAGAATAACAGTTTGCAAAATATTAAAACATTTAAACAAAGATATTATATATCCCTAAATGGAATTCACACATCATAAATTGTATCGTATCGATGCAAAATTAATACAAATTTCTTGAAATTATTCTGTTTCGTGTCGTGACCTGAGCTTCTAACAAGTTCCTATAGATACGTGCACCATTTTAGCAAATTAAATCATCTTGGAGCTGGTCGGTTACGGAGGTAAGAAGAGGGTGGCGGCAGGGAGAAGAAGGTAGCGGAGGAAGGACGAAGAGGGTTGGGGAAACAGAGCTGATGTTAGTTTTAGCTGATTAAATTACTAAGCCGCGGTGGCCTTGCACCGGCAGAGACCGGTCCTCAATTCGCGATCCATTCCTTTTATTAATCGGATCCAGAATGTCATAGGGTTGAATAGTTAGAACGGAGAGAGATCGATATGTGCATTATCTTTCGAAGCAATTGGCAAAGTAAGAAATGTATTACAGAAGATATCGAGTGCAGACATTACTTTCAAGAGCGAATTATTTACTAACTCGTAAAAATGTCTGCTTTTATTCCATCATTTTTCGAGACAAATATTCAAAACGTGCTATTGTGTGACGTATAATAAAATTTTTTAATTGCTATTAACGTAATCGACGCACATTTAAAATTGAAATAAAAAACATTTTCTACATTTCTATGGAAACAGAAAAACAATATTGTTATTAAGAAAAATACGATGCAAGATATATCTTTTGACTGTAAACGCAAAACATCTATATACAAAACGTTTATAATATGCATAAATTACGAAAGAAACATGAGATATATAACGCAATCTTTTCCTTAACTTGAAGAAGCTATATCAGGGAGAAAAGGAATAGATTGAGGACACGAAAAAAGAAAAGAGGTTGAAAGTGTTCGAGAACGATTGTCCATGAGGAAGAGAAAAGCGGAAGTGATAGATAGATGCCGAGACACCCTTCCCGGTTCTATGGAGGAATCATGCTCGTAAAGGGAGTAGAAAGTTGGGTGAGAGGGGGAAGGCAGACGAGGAAAGAATCGAAAACGAGAAAGCTGCAATTTATACATCAAAGCTTCGATTGAACGCGTCTCCGCCATCCTGCCAAAGCGAGAGGAAGAGATACAGACAGGAGAATCAATGTATATTCGTCGCGTCGGTGTGCGCCGCTACATGCAACAACTTGCGCGAAGTGTTTAGCAAATCCAGGTCGACGTATCCCCCCCCCCCCCGTCCATTGTACTCTAGAAAATTGACAAACGCGAATGGGCTTATCCGTGATTAAAACGTGGAAGATAAAAGAACCGCTTTAGAGCCTGTATGTGTCGCTCGTTGCAAACTCGCTGAATCAAAAAATTAAAATTTCTTGCATATTGACAATTCTGATGATGTCTTAAAAATATAACAAATTTTACATATATCGATTATTATTGATATATAAATTCTTGTCAGATAAAAAAAAAATCGTGACTTAATTTCGCACAGCATAATATACGCAACAAAAAGTTTCCGATTTAATATTCTCAATTTAGAAGCACTTGTAATTTAATCCGCAAAAATATATGCATGTAATATATAGTAGTAAATACTTGTTAGAATTGCCATCGTTATTTTCACATCGAAAAGTTTGTGAAGTATGCAAACTCGTTCCACTTTCCCAGCGAGTTCCTCACAGGCGAAGCCGAGTTACGGCTTGCAAATTGCGATTCGGAAACGCGCCAACTTTTCTCGAGACGAATCAGGTGCTCGGTTATAAATCCGCAATAATTGGCTATACCGAGTCGGCTGTTGAGCTCGTGGTGAAACTCCCCGACCCTTAAGCTTTTCCTCAATTTCTTCGCTTCTCGCCAAGGTAGGTATCTATATCAACGTTCGCTTCCTAGAATTTCAGCGAGCGAAGTACCTGTGCAACGAGACGCAAACGAACGAGAAAGAAAGAGAGAAAGAAACAAGAAGGGAAGTGGGGGAGAAAAAAGCGGATGTTGAGAACCGTGCGTTCCTCGGTGAAATTTCCAGAAAAATACGAGCTGCTTCCCGAGAAAGAAACGAGTTTTGTGCAGCGTGGCTGAATGGCGCAACAACGTACGCTTTTAAGCGCTCGAGAACGAACTTCCGGCCGGCGAGAGGGGGACGAACGAGGGCCAGAATGCGCTTTTTCGCGGGATTAAAAATGCTAAATGGTAATTAGTTCCGGGGATAAAAAAGCATTTACAGGACGTGTGTATGGAGGAAGCGGAGAACTGCGCGGCGCCCCGTTATTCTAAATGAATGAACAACAGGAAATTGTACCTAAGCTTTTTTAAACTCTATCCAACATTGGAGGTGGTCAGCCGTCAGTACTTTTCTCACCGCAAAGTCGATGTGGTCGGTGTTTGCAAGAACGGAGTGCGTGTATTCGGAATCGAATTATACGGCGGACGTTCCTTTGCATCGTTTGATCGAGGATTTCTTTCCTTTACAATCGACGTGACGCTAGTGAGTCCACAGCTTAAGTTATCGAATCAGCCTCGGGCATAAAGTGCCTGCAGCTAATGCTGAAATATGAGTATTTAACCATAGATTAAGGAAATAATAAGTTCGAGATAAGTTAATCCTGGGCAGATAAGGAGAGAAAGAGAGGCCGACGCTCCCCTCAGGGCGGTGGACATTCTTCTGGGGGCGAGGGTTAACCCTGTATGCATGTTGTTCGGCATATGTGTGAGAGGCCGCGGGAGTTGCTCGGCCGATATAGAGGGGGATTCCCAGGGGACTTTTGGAATCGATTCGGGATGGAAATCATTACGGCAGATTTGAATGACTATCTTCGAATTTATCTGCTCCCTTCACTACTTGCTTTTCTCCTCGTACCACCGCCATCTTCGAGGGCTCCGAGAGAACGACGCTACGGTTTTATTACTGTACACGCCGATTCTTTTTTCACCGAGCGATACCAGTCTGTTGCTCGCTGATTTCGATTATACAATAAACGTAAGATCGACAATAACGTTTTCGTCGACTTCGAACATTGTCCGGTTATTGTGAGGTTAATGAAATCGATAAGATCACAGAGTGATGTAGTTCATCATTTCCAAGTATGTTTGGAGATACGCGCTAAAATCTTTCACTTCTGCACAACAGACTGATGTGCAGAAATTTGGCGAGATTTCAGCTTTGAAAAATTTTATTTCAGTAAAAGTTAATATTATGATTATGAACGAACATTCCGAAGGACTCACCGCTATAAGTCCTTAGTAAGTAATTCCCGTGGGAATTAAACTGCGGCGGGGGCCCAAACATTCTCCTGGTGGGACCAGGAGGCAACGGAAGAAAGGCCCCCGAGGGGATCGCGTTGACTGGTCGCACCCCCAGGACCCTCCGTTTGACGTCGTTCTCTCCGACCGCCCTTCGCCTACTTCAGCCACTCACTCTTGAGACATCCTGCGACATAACTCCGCGATATCCGACGAACCGAGAGAAGAAAGACAGTAGCGCTTCTTTTGGGACTAACGCGTGCAGCAAGTGCGAATCTGAAGTGCGCACAGCGCTGCGGTGATTCAAACCTTTCACAGTCGCTCATGAAAATTTTCATTCATTAATTCATCACCTCGTTTTGTCCTAATATAAACGTGTGGGTTTTTCATTTGCTCATTCCAATGTTCGTAGCATTACAATTATTTCCGATAATGATAAAAACATACGGGCAATCTCCCGGGAGAGTATTGTGTGATAAAAGTAATTGCTTACAAATTGTCCGCACATATCGCAAGTATACACAGAATAAACAAAACCGTCCCAACTCAGGTAACAGTCGCTAAGCAAATAATATTGCATGTCACGTCGCACGCGTTACGCGACCTACCTGACCGCCGTGTTTAACCGACAATTATTGCGCGCCCTGTATTTGTAATACCGTTGATAATTATATCCCATGATTGTTTAAATTTTGTGCTAGAAACCGCGAGGCCGCAGTTCGACGGTTTAGCTTACGATTTTCAAAGCAACGAAAGGATTATTAAAGTCTGCTCTTACCGTTGCTCCAATATATGTGAAACGATTCAGAGAAATGCTGTTATTAGAAATTTTTTTACATACATAATTCACTTTTCATAAAATGAGGAAGAAAAGAAATTAATGCGTAAAATTTAAAACACGATATAATTTTGAAAGATTCTTTATGTTAATCTTTTATATTTTTACTTAAATAACAAAGATTGTTAGTAAAAATTAAACTTCTATATCCCCAAAATTTATTAATGTTAGAATCATGACTTGTTGATGTAATCTTTATGCAAATTTTGTGCGAACTTTATTTCGGATCGCCGATACAGTAACAGAAGTCTTAAGTTTTTATTTTATGAATTTTAATGCAAGAAAATTATATTTATAAACGAGAAGCTATTTTACTTTTAAACAACAGATAAAAATATATTAATTTTAAAAAGCAATTCATAAGAATTGCGTTCACCGTTGTTCCTTCAATTACAATAAAAAGTAGTGATTCAAAAAAAAAAAGCGACATTTTAGACAATACCATCAATGTTATAAAGAAACAGCTTAATTGGCTAGGTGTAAGTAAATGCCAACCTTATCTCGCGACAGAGGTTAATACGTACAAAGTACATACTTATGTTAATTATTCCTGGTACAAATAAGTTTGCATGTCTCTTTACTATTAAGACTCGTAATAGCCAGACAGCACGTAACGCTCTATGACTTCTTCCTTTGCTCTTACCAAGAACATGTACTTTTCCCCTTCCATCGTGTACGCGATACCCCCAAACCTTTTCCCCTTTTCGCCATGTTTATTCTTACTCCTCTCTATTTTCCATCCTGACGTCTCCGTTTCGACGGCGGATCTCTCTCTCTCTCTGATTTACCTACCGCGATGTATACAGCCACGGCGGTTCGTTTACGTTGCAATTCGGTTATTTCGCCCGCATAAATATTTGACGCCATTCTGGAAGTCACACCTACACGCCGGAACCAAGTCGTGTCTGATAGCATTACCGTCGTATAGCGACGTTTAACCGGCCAAACACGACGATGGCGCCGTCAACTCGACGAATTCCCTGGGACACTGTATTTCACAATATTTACATTTTATCGCTCCTCCTGAACTCCAACCATTCAGGTCGTTATGCAAGCCACGAAATTGCGTAGAAATCGCGCGTACAATCGATGCGATTGTACACGCTCGTTCTTTCTTTGAAGTTTCGCTCCATCAAACGCTTTGATCTCAACGCTGTAAAGAGATGTTCGAGGAAATAACTCATTTCTCAAATCAGAATCAGAACTAATGCAATCGTTATGGAAATATCCTGACTTTGTGCCGTGAAGAATTCAAATGCACGTAAGCGGCATGTTTTATCGTTGAAGTAAATATACAATATGCAAATTTATATTTTACATGGACAATTTCAGCGACAGTAAAATTTTTAATTGAAAAATGCGTTATTTTTCCCCTTTTCGGAAAGCTATTTACGTGAGATCAAAGCGAGCCTATCTATTCGCGCTTTGTTATTCCACGGTTAATCCGCGCGAAGGTCCCCATCGGTAAGTGCACAAATACAGGATAACGACGTGTTGTCATTAAATAAAAATCAATCGCGTGGTCGTGAAGGAGGCTTAACGGATTTGCTTGCGCCGCCCATGGCTTAGTAGTCCTGCGGGGAAAGTAGTCCCTTCTCAACTCGCATCCACATACGAGCTTGCTTAATACGTTACATATTTCCCATCGATGGTAGAATTATCCGCCGAACTGGATTACCCCAACGTAATCTACGTTCACGCTAATTATCACTTTCTTTTTCTTCAAAATAAAGTTGCTAACTAAAACCTTGTGTGCGAAAAATAAGGTTCCTTATGTACGACAAATAAGGAACAAAATGAGCGAAAAATTTAAACAAAATGTGTATCGTATCAATATTTCAAAGTTAGTTGAATAAAAACGGGAATAATTCATAAAAGTGCAGTCAATTAAAAATTATTTGCGACTCTCTAGCGTCGATAACTCGTTGCAATTGGAGATGAATATCAATTTTTTCTGTTACAGGCAATCATGTATGAGGGGCAAGACAAGAATCCGGAAATGTGCCGCGTTCTGCTGACGCATGAAGTCATGTGCAGGTACGTTTGCAAATACCATTCCTTTATCATTTTCATAACCGAGAAATTTACTTTCCCGTACCATATAAATTCTAAAATTGTCCGTTTATCTTTACGATCATTTCCCAGTTAATTTGCAAAACAACTTTTCGCTGACACTTTTTACAATGTGAAGTTATTCCATACGTCCAACTTACGTTATTTGCGTTTAGAAAACTCTCCCTCTTTTGCGTAGGCAGCCACCCTTATGGCATAGTATAAACGTAACGAGGCATACGGGGATGTAGTCGTTCTTCGGGGGTGGCTGACTCATTGTGGCCCATGGGACTTCGGGAGCGCACTACCACTAGTTTCCGCTACCTACTTCCCGAATCCCAAGGGCCTCGGTATTTTTTAGGCGGCCTCGAAACTTCTGACTGCGCTAGAGCCTCTATTCATGTTGTTCGCCTTATGAAAATAAGTCGCCGCAAGACTAAACAGGACGAAACACATTTTTTTTTGCTTGCAGTCGATGCTGCGACAAAAAGAGCTGCGGCAATAGGAACGAAACGCCCAGCGATCCCGTCATCATCGACCGGTGAGTGGAATCTATCTGTGTTATCTGACTTTTGCCGAGCGAAACCGGGTATCGCGACCGCCGCGTGATCTGCTTAAATGTGCGCGTTTATCTCGCGTGTATTATGTAACGATCGAGTTTTACGATACCGAAGCACATACGGCGGAATCTCGACTAAACGACGGCGAACATAACGACGGTAGTGACGATTTCACAGAAACACCGAACGACTCTTTCATATCGGCCTGTCGCTCACGCTATCGTCGTTTTCAACGATCTGCGAAATAAGAGTCTAGATAACTCCTTCTCGAAGGAGACCCTACAAGATAGAGCCTTCCCGTATACCGTCGCGACCAGGCTCCTAGGACATTTAGGCTTGCAAAATACGTTTCCTACGAGGTGCGGCAGAGTCGCCTGGATAGAAGAGTACTCGAATACTCAGGCGTACTTACACGTCCTCCACCTTGCGCATGGTGCCGCTCGTCCACGGTAACATAGATTCCCCTTATACATCTACTCGCCCGCTCTCTCTTTCTCTCGTCCGCTCGCTCTGTCTCTCTTCCGTGGCGTGGCTAACACGAGAGTAGCAGGGTGAGCCTGGTATCTGAATAGGCTATAGAGTGTCCTGAGATAGGAACGGCAGGAAGGAAGAGGTTTCCCGCGGGACTCGGGCCGAGATAGTCTTCAGGAGGACATCTTGTGCTCAGAGGTGCTCAACTCTCGGGGTTTCGATACGCTGGCGGCTTCGAGCTTTCATCCGCATTCGAAAGGATATGTGTTACACGATGGCGACAGGCAAAGCCCGCTAGGCTCGCGCGTAACTATTTTTCTGCGCCTTCGAGTCTGCCGACGTCTGCACCTGTTGGGTTTAACTCCGATGCCATGTGACAGTCGTGTTTTATTCGCCAATACTCGAGAAACTAATACTTGATAGCAAGATAGATCAAATTGAATAATAAATATTAAGAGCGTAAATTTTTTATTCCTACGCAGTTTTTACGCAACAAGCCCTGCGAGCTCCTTCGTATTTGGAAGCGAAATAAATTGACGATTTGAAAAATATTCTCACGACGTCACAATGTTTGGATTCACGCATGATAGCGCGCGCGAGATTCGGTATATAATGCGAAAAAAATAACAATAGCTATCTTCTGAAAGATTATTCAATCTCGTAGGTTGGGCCGATCGGTGAGACGATAGAAGAATTAATTTTGAAAATGCTCGTTCGGCACACGACACGCACGCACTCGAATAATGTCGTAACAACCGCGTTGTAACGTGAATGCAACCGCGATGCGGTCGCGTGTCGTGGCGAACGCCACCCTCGAGTTCGTTTCGCGGACGTAGATCGTAACGAGAGTAAAATAAATGAGCGACTTCCGCAAAATTACAGGATTAAATCTTTACTACAACTGTTTTCACCATTTGTTAATTGGAATAACCTTATATAACGTCAACGTTAAACATGATGACTTATGCGTATGATATATTAATTATGCAAACTAGATAAGTTATTATATGAATTAAAAAGATGACGGTTCCGACATCACGTTTTTTCATTAATTACTGATTTCTATTCCTACACTTTCACACGCAAATGTACATCCATATATATTCATACAACGTCTTTCTACTATTTTTGCTCGATATATAGGTAATGTACTTGTATGCGTTGTTCACGGAGAAAATATATATATATATATATATACATATATATATATGTCGGAAGGCTAATAGATTTTCGGTCTCGCACAAAACCACAATGGAGAACGCGAGGACCTGATCGAGAGAGTGGGCGAAGGGTATCAATGCCACTTTGATTGAGGCGGTCCTGGTCGATTGTGACATGCTCACTCAGCTGTGTAGAAAGTACAACGCGTTCCCCATCAATTCGGTATACCTGACTGAGGAGAAAAACAATACATCCGTATTCCTAAGCGTGATCATTTTGTCATCCCTTTGCGCTACTTTCGGTGCAATATTCAACCGTAACTTTCACCTTTAAAACCAGTATTACCGCTCGATACGTAATAGATTGCGCTGTTATGCGTTTGCCGCGAATTAGAAAACGGGTGATATTTCAGATTCATAATAAATCCGCGACTCTTGAAATCTCTTTTACAGTTTTCATAACAATTTTTGCTACTTGTTTTTATAAAATACTTTTCGCTTCACGCAAGAACTTCCATAAATGTGTTATGTCCACCTATATATTTTGCAATTCCCATCTTTCATTAAGCAACATCAGTCCGATTTGAAAAATTACAAAATGCATCTTCGCTACGCACGTATATTCTGTCAACCGACAAATGCAGATTCATAAAAGTTGCAGAGGTTTTAACTCCCTTCTCTACGCGGACAGCAGTTTGATATAATCAAGTCCATCGATCGATCGAATCGTGATGGCATCGATCGACGATAGGCGGATTGCGAGAGCAGTCCTAGAGAAGCTGGTATTACACCGGACTCGGAAACCAATTAACATGCATAATTAAAATGGCATTGTCGTGGCCGGGTAGCGCCACGGGCTCCCCCGCCGACTGACGGATCCCCGGGGGCTAACGGCGTTTCATAATTACGAAAATCCACCCGCCTCCGCCACCTCCTCCGCCCACGCGTTCCGGTGTCACTCTCTTTCTCCAATTGCCGGTATCCAGAAACTCTCCCGCGAAAACCCCGGGGGGGGGGGGAGGAGGGGGTGGAGGGCGCGTGAAAAAAATCGGGCATCGGGTCGGTGTGCGACGAATAACGCACCCCAGCGCTGCCACAGCCAATAACGTTCGAACAGGCCGGTCGCCAGCGCGATTGGCTAACTTTATTTCGCTCAGTGGGCAAGCCCTTAATTTCGGGGCATCGATCATAGCTCTCGTGTGCGCCCTCCGCGCGCTGCTGCAGCGGCGGCCTTCCTCCGCCGCTTCCTCTCATCCGCCTCCACGCGTTCATACCAGTCGCGATGACCCTCAGTACCGTGACGCACCTCTCTGCCATTCCCTCCGTCAATTTGATGGATTCCATTTCGGATCCTGCGCGACGACGATCGTTTCGCTTCCCCCGTTCCTGCGCGCAGCCCTTCCGAGGGGAGACCGCGGCGAAATTTTGCACGGGAAAAAAAATGTTCCGGGGCAGCGCCGCGATAAAAGTTAATCCGCCCGTGGCGAGCCAGGCAGATTTCAGATCGTTCTAATCGCTCAAGCGTCGAAATGCTACGTTAAGCGTTCACACAATCGTATACGAAAAACTTGGAAATGATTGAAAAACCAACATAACTGCAAACGTGAATCTGCTCGGCAAAATTTCTTGAAAAAAACAAATAAATGTTGATGTAAACGTATTGAAGATGATTTAAAATTTAGTAACACAAATTCAGATGAAAATACATGTGATATTTATACAACGGATTGTCAACAACAATTTATAAAGAATTTATACGCGAAATTTTATCTAGAAATATCGATCGTTTAAGTTTTAGAGAGAAGAAAATTTAGCCTCGAATATATCTATAATATATCTATTAAAATCTTTTGTATCGCTAATGAAAAAAGAGCAGTCTAAAATATATATAATATTTTACAAAGAATTAGCGCCCACGCGAAGCATTAAAAACATTTTTCATTCGCTATACCGTAGCTTGCAATGTTCCGTTATGTTCCACATAAATACCGGCTCACGATATTCTCTTCTCCGAGTCCAAACGCGTAACAATCAATCGTTACCTTAATTGATTGCGATTGATGGAGGACGCTCGAGCGATTTGACTGACGTCACAATGACATACGGATTGTCAATCAGTCTCGCTTGTGGCGTTAATGCATGCAAATCTGGTCGAATCGTGGCACGTTGTCTCACACCCCTGCAGGGAATCTCCATCAATATGGATTCGATATCAAGGCCGGTCAGGCCGCTTTCTATGCACTCGCTGAAAAGTCTTTCTACGCGAACGTACGGATATTTTATTCAACCGTAATTGTCCGTTTCTCCGTTTCGCCGGTGCATTCACCTCTTTGTTTTTGTTTACACCAAAAGCTGATACTTGCTGACAAACGTTTTGATAGCGGGAACGATTGTAACGTTGTTTTTTATTAACGGCGTTATGAAACATGTATATTAAAGTACGTGAAATAGCGCAGAAAATATTTATTTAATTTAATGCAATTTATTTGTGATGTGTTAGAAAAAAAGTTGTATCTATAAATCAGTACACTCGTTCCTGCTCTCTTCTACTCACGATCGACGGATAATTATTACATGGTGTTTACGCTTTCCAAGAACGACTCTACAAAATACCGGTTTTGTGTAACAAGCATCGTCAGCAAACGGAAATGGTTTGGTGGTCTGATAGAACCTAATCAGGTGAAAGCGCGGCGAGCGAGCGACGCAGACTGCTGTCAGACCGCATTGCATTAATTCTACTCCGTGTAACAAGTACGCACACGTGTAGCGGGCGACTTTTCACAAAAATGATTGAGAACGATTGACCAAGATAGCAGCGATAATGACAGGTCTCGAATGCCCACCGTAGATGACATACATCGATAAGGAAAACTTATTAAGCGAACGACGTGTGCGATGCATACTGAAATGGCCGCCCATTCATTGGCCAAGCCAAACGATCCGGTGGGAAATCTCACCCAACCAACCATCATTGTTAACTAGAATCGCCCTTACTTTTTCAATTTTTCCACGCGCGATCGGCTATACACCGGAAATCAGTTTATATCGCGAAACTGTTTTTTTTTTTTTTTGTCTCCGACATGATACAACAAAATCGCTTTATCGGTGAACTTATTGTTTACTGCGTAAAACTCAGAATTATGATATTGATAAAAAATTTTAATTAATTAATTTCTATTTACAAAATAAAATTAAATACTTTTTGTCATTTTGCGAAACAAATTTATATCTCTTGTTTTCTGAACGCTAAGCGAAATTAGATTAAACATTTTCGACTCGACTGCTCCCGGAAAGACTATTTTCTGACGCGACTATTAAAGAAATCAAAACATACTGAGTAGTAGCGCACG